GTGCCGCTGCCCGCAGCGGCGGTTTACTTCGGGTCGGCTATTTTTGGCCGAATTTGACTAGTGTTGAATCAATCCCTGTTAGAAAACTTGTTAAGGGGCTTCAGTTGGCCAAAAAAAATAAAAAAATCGAAACTCACCGACGGTGGAGTTCTTTGGTGCGGTGGCTCTGCCAACTCACCTTTGTGGTTCGGTATTTTGCTTCGGTCAACCTGTAGAGGAAGAAACGGTGGTTATAATGGTAAAAGAATTACACATAACGAGAATCGGGAAGGGCCTCATTGGAGGCTTTTTTGCAATTTTCTGGGGTGGCGTCGTCAGGCTTTACCCACGGTTTTCGGCCAATCCACCGGTCTTTTGGCTCCAATTTGGTCATAGGAGTGTTTAAAATTGAATTCCGAGTAAAGAAATTTTTTTTACCTATTTTAGTAGTCGGAAGTGGTTCCGGCATGGCGGCGGCTCTCCTTCCCAGCGGCTGGGTCTTCTTCTCCAGCGAGGGTGTCCGGCGACTAAGGTTAGGGTTTGGTATGAAGATGGTTATTTATATCTGTCATTTTTTAATTTGGACTGTCCGATTGTGATTAAATGAAAAGTAGATCTGAACTGTTGATCGCGTTTAAATTTGATCGTCTGATCGCGTCTGGGGAGTGCACGCATCTGGGCCGTTCGTGCGCGCGGGAGCGGATCTGGGTTGTCTGATCGCGGGCGCGGATCTCCCGCGTGGCATCGCATCAGCGTCCCTCGCCACTCGGTCCGTTCTGGTTCGTCGGAGCTGTTGACTAGGCATCCTACTTGGTACAACTTTCATAAATTGTGTTTTGACCTCCAGTTTCTGATTTTTCTTTAAAAAATACTCATAGAACCCAAATTTTCATCATTCTTTCCCAAATTTTTTTTTTTTCAATTTCATCATTCACCTAATTTCTTTCATTTTACATTAAATTAAAATTAAAAAATTAAAAAATTATATTTATAAATTAATTTAAAATTACATAAAAATAAATTAGGCATTACAATTATAGAAAATTTTATGTAGAAATTTATCTCTATATATAATGTAATCACATGTTTTTAACGAATTGTTATTTATTATATTGAGAAATTTATTTGTTATTCAAAAAATATAGAAAATTTATGTAGAAATTTATTTTTATCATTTAATATATATATATATATGTAGTATGTGTTTATTCTTAATTGACATTGCTGATTTTACTATGACAATCACTACTGATGTGTTGATAATGTAACATATATTTGGTACATATTTAAATACATTAATAAATACACATTATCAAAATAAATTTGTAAGGTACATTTTTAAATGTATTTTTTTTTTCTAATTTTAGTTACTATTTAAATAAAAACATAATATATTTAAAAATTTATTAAACCTGCCAATATTAGATTATTTATCAGGTATTATTGTATCATGTCATGTTATATGGAATGCTACATTGTGTATTAAATTTAACACAATTTTATAGTTTAGGCACAAAATTATTGAAAATAAAAAATTTCAGAATATCAAAATTGATTCTAAAAATCAAAAGGAATTCCAGCCCAATGGCTACTCATGTTTTCGTTTATGTTTAAGATTTTAATTTTGACTTTTATCTAATATAAGAATAATATATATTACATTGTGTTTAAAAAAATACTCTTATTTAGTCTAAAAATAATATGTACTATGTCGTAATTTTTTTTTTTTAAAGTAAATTTACTTTATATATATATATATATATATATATATATATATGTACAGCTTTTATATGATAAAGAAAATAAGTAACTCACAAAAATACAATGAAAAGAATGGGTGGGTTTGAGTAGAAATAGTAATTTTAAACTTGAGATGGAAGAGAAGTATTCTTTACACTTTATTCCAAAGTAGTAAAAAAAAAAAAAGAAAAGAAAAGATAATTATTCCATTCCATGCATATATTAATCTCTTTTCTTCACTTAATTGCTTTTTTTTGTTTTTTATTGTTTTCTTAAAAAAAAAAAATGGAGAAACATAAATTACCAAGAATTTGTAAAGTAAACATGGAGCCCATTAATATATAATATAATATATATATATATATATTGACAATTTCTGAATTTTTATGTTCTTTTACTGAAATACAACAAAAAATCTAAATATTTTCAAGATTTTACTGAATTTTTATAATTAAAAAATGTAAGAACTAAGATAAGGTTTCAAATTGATTTATCTTTTAAAAAAAAGAAGTGGGTAAAAGAGAAATAATTATGAGACAATAAAAGCCATGTAATGAGACAAAGAGAGAATGACATTGGGAAATGAGAGAAACATCACCAAAAGACATAACAAATAAACACCACAACATTTTCCCCACAATTATTTCTTTCCACTAATATCATCGCTGTATACACACACACACACACACAATGTGGGTGTGAGTGGTTTTTCTTGCCTACTAGAAACTATTGTTACACAATTTTAATGAATAATTTTGGGAATTTTTTAATTTATTTAATTTGACTATTAGATATAAAAAAATTATTTTAAAATATTATTTTAAATGCAACTTGAAAATATTTCACCCTAATCAATTATAGTGATTATCTTTGAAGCATTATAATTTTTCCTAATTGATTTTTCTTTTGATTCATTCATGAAAATTAATTAATGAAAAGATTCAATTTACATAATGAAATGTAATATTGAAATCTTTTTTGTTGAAAATATTTTATTCAAATAACATAATTTAGTTAGAATACGAATACTAATAACAAAACACAAACAATAATATGCCAAATCTCCTAAATAATAAACAATTTGAACCCCTAAAGTTATTAAAAAAAAAAAAAAGTATACAAATACTATTTGTATAATCAATTAATGATTAATAAATGATGTAATATTCTTATTATAAAGTTTATTTTGAATCATATTTTTTTTATTTTTTTATAATTTTTTTTTTTAGAGACATGGACCAAAAAAAACCAAAACAAAACATGAAAGTCACACAAATGTTGATTGTCCTCACTTGAGTTGTCTTTCTTCACTTCATTCTTACACTTGCTTTCTTCTATGCTGTCCTTCATTATCTTCTTCCTCCAACAAGAATGTCAATGAACCATTTACCTCAATTCTCAGAAAACAATGGCTTCTCTGCAACAACTTCTCGCTCAACAAGGCTTTCAAACCTCCAAAAACTACATCAAAACATCCACAACAATGAAGCTCCCACACAGTCAACAACCAGAGGAGTCAACAATACCAGAGGAGTTCTACATCTGCCATGGTCCAAAAAGCTTGGATTTCTCCAGGCAGACAAGTGAAAATCCTATCCTGCATCATGACCGTGACCGTGACCATAACCAGTCCTTTCTGGATGACTCCAATTCTAACTCATTGCTTAAAGATGATATAAGGAGAGACGAGCCTGCAATTGATGAAGTTGCCATCAAAGCAGTGATTTCTATTCTCACTGGCCATATTGGGAGGTACTGTAAAGATGAAAGTTTCAGGAGAATGATCAGAGAAAAGTGCAATGCTTGCTTGCTGAGAAGGAGAAAGGAAGCTGACAATGGCGTCTTTGTAAATATGGCGATGGGTATTGAGAGCATTGACAAAGTGGTTGAGGGAAAAGTTCTCAGGAAAGAACTGAGAACGAAACTGTTAAGGAATTCAATTAGGCTTTTGAGCATTGTTGCCTCTTTGAATTCAAGAAAATCAAGAAGCTCTTCAACTTGTGGAGTCCTAAATTCAAATCTCTCAGTCTGTGCTCAGCTCTACTTATCCATAGTCTACAAGCTTCAGAAGAATGACAGGCTTTCGTCGAGGCACTTGCTTCAAGTTTTCTGTGATTTGCCATTTTTGGCCCGGACCCACTTGCTTCCTGATCTTTGGGAGCATTTCTTTCTCCCCCATCTTCTCCATCTCAAGGTCTGGTACCTTAAAGAACTTGAATTTCTTTCAAGCTCTGACTATGGAGAGAAAGAAAAGAGAATGAAAACTTTGAACAAGGTCTATAATGACCAAATGGACATGGGAACTTGTCAGTTTGCTTTGTACTACAAAGAATGGCTCAAAGTAGGGGCTGCAGCACCAGCTGCTCCTGTTGTCCCTTTACCATCAAGACCAAGTAGTAGATCATCAAGAAGGAGATCATCTGATTCGTATGCTTCTTCACATTCAATAATCAACAAGAGTTTGTAAGTGATGACATTAAATTAGTGATTATAGTTGGATTACAAGTCAGTTTGTGATTATTAGCTCTATGTATTTACAAGTCCTGTATATTTTGCTTCATGATTGCCTGGGTTTTGAAAGATACCAAGCTGTTTTTGGACCCACGACTGAGAGTGGATCCACAGATTTTGATAGTAGAAATGGTGCCGCAATCGAGGCATGGGAGCAGGGAGAAGAGGAGAAAATGTCTGCACATGGAAAAGAAGGCTACAAGGACTTCAATTATGTCCATGTGGGTAACTCTTTGTCTTATCTCAAAACTGCAATTCTGTCTTTCAGACTTTGAAAAAGCTTACTGTTGAAATGGGAGCATTTATGAATCTGTTTTTCTCATTTTTGGCAGGGGAACAAAACAAAGCCTCAAGGCAGATCAAGATCAAGCCAAAGTCTCAGAAACCCAAGACATGTGTTGTGGCAAGAGAGACAGAAATCAGATTATCTTAAGTTGTTTATCTGCCAGAGTTTACCAACAGAATGCTTGATAAATGGCAATCATGTAGTGAGGAGTAGTTCAGTAAGAAAAGAAGGAAACAATCATCTTCTTTCAACCGAGCTAACCAGAGCCATTGCCACTCTTTGCTCCTCTGATAATCTAAGTGACTGTGAAATTGCAGTTCGAGTCATTACCAAAACTTGGCTGCAATCACATGGTGATCCTGCCACTGAAACTACCTTTTCCAAAGCACCTATCATTGAGGGAATGCTAGAGGTCTTATTTGCTTCTAATGATGATGAAATTTTAGAACTAGCAATATCAATTTTGGCTGAATTTGTATCGAGGAACAAGAGCAATAAACAGATAATATTGAATTCAGATCCACAGCTTGAAATTTTTGTGAGGCTCTTGAGAAGTAGTAGTCTGTTTCTAAAGGCTGCTATTCTTCTTTACCTGTTGAAACCCAAGGCAAAACAGATGGTTTCAGCCGAATTTGTACCACTCATCCTCAGAGTTTTGGAGTTTGGTGATCAAGTTCAAACCCTTTTCACAGTTAGGTGTAGTCCTAGAAGTGCAGCATTTTACTTGCTAGATCAACTCCTAACAGGTTTTGATGAAGATATGAACTTAGAAAATGCATGTGAGGTTGTGTCTCTTGGGGGATTGAGTCTGCTGCTAAGGAGCATTGAGATTGCAGATGATGTTCGTGAGAGGAACAATGCTGCTTCCATCATCTGCTGTGCCATTCGAGCCAATCCAAACTGTAGAAATTACTTAGCTGATAATGTGAACAAAGCTTCTCTTCTTGAACTCATTGTTCTAGGGAACCATAACAAGTACTCCACCAAGTTTGGTTTTGGTTTACTAACCGAGCTGCTCTGCCTCGACAGGTATGATTCAGGATTATTTCTGGTATTAAATTTAATATCAATCCATAGTTTTTCTTAGAATCTGGACTGGTAACTTTGATGGTCTTAGGAGTCTTCTTTTTTCTGGTGCAGAAGAACGTGCATCATAAAATTTTTAGAGGGATTAAAAGAAGGATGGGCAGGGTTAAACACAATGCATATCTTCTTAGTTTATCTCCAGAATGCTTCAAAAGAAGAACAGCCATTGGTGGCGGCAATCTTGCTACAACTTGATCTTCTGGTAATTCCATTATTTTTGTTGCTTTGCATTCTCAAATTAAAAGGAAAAGAGTAATACACACCCAATTGGTTTTTCAGATCAAGATTTCATTTCTGAATCCTTTTCATTCATCCTATAATTTTCTTAGTATCTCAGTTTCTTGCTTGTTTTTCTTTCTGAGTAAAATACCCAAATTCAAAAAAGAGTATGAATCTGTTTTCCTCATCCTACAATTCTTTCGGAAACGAAATCGGAGGATTTTCCCTTTATCATGGTGCAGTTATGCTGCAGGGAGATCCATCCAAGTGCAGTGTATATAGAGAAGAAGCAATCGATGTGTTAATAGCAGCACTTGATTGTCAAATATGTGACGAGAAGGTTCAAGAACAATCAGCAAGAGCTCTGATGATGTTGGGTGGTAGGTTTTCTTACACAGGAGAGACAACAACAGAGAAATGGCTGCTAGAGCAAGCTGGTTTCTGGAAGATCTCAGGCGAATCATTTCACTGCAATGAGGTAGGTAATGATGAAAGTTTGATAACTTTAGAAAGTTACACTAAATCATACAGTTAAACAATACAAATAATTGATTAGACCATTTCCTATCAACTTAAGATTTCAAGATAATCGGTTTAACCTAATATTCAAAAAGATATCAGAGCAAATCTAGTTTTCGGATCATAATTCTCTCATTTCTCTTAAAAATTAATGACATAAGGTTTAGTGTGCATGTGATTGATTCAAGTTTTCTGCCAGGTGGGCTTTCGCGTGAAGGGTATATATTAAAATATAAATAATTGATTGGATCATTTTCTATCGGTTTAAACTTTTGAAACAATAAGTTCAATTAGATAATCTCATGTATTGACATATATCAGACTGAAGAGGAGGTTGCAGCTGAAAATTGGCAAAGAAAAGCAGCAAGAACTCTGCTGAATAGTGGAAAAGAAAAATTATTGGGTGCACTCGCAAAATCGATAGTGAACGGGACTCCTAATCTAGCACAAGCAAGTCTGTTTACTGTTGCATGGATAAGCAACTACATCAACTGGGTTAATGATGAGAAGCTTGGGTTTATGGCAAGCTCAATACTGGTGCCACAGCTGATAGAATCGTCTAATTATGACAGAGTTATTGAGGAAAGAGTACTAGCAGCCTATTCATTGCAGAATATTGTGAAATGTCCAGGTATATATGGTAAGTTTCCTAGTAACTTACCTTTACCCAGTTAGGTATTAAGTAGTAAAATGAATTGTCTTTATCCCACAGAATCGATGTCTTTGCTCTCATCACTGGACAAGGAGCTGCTATTATTTGAACCTCAACTTCTGCGGTGAAGATCAAGACAAGAACCCCATTTGTGTGGTTAAAAAAACAAAGGCAGGCAAATTATATTAGTTGTGTGTTTATATACATGTCTTATAGTTGAATTTATTTTCATTTATATTTTTGTACAGGCCAAGTAAATGTAGGCTGAATTTTTGCGTTTCAAAATTGAGATAACGGAAATGTAAAATCGTTTTTCTTTTGAGACTAAACACAAGGAGAGGTCGCTATCCGATAGAAGGAAACAATTATTTATGGGTCGAGCAGACTGATCTGTCTTCCACCAAATTGTGCAAATATGTTGGTATGGAGAAAGCTCACATGGTTAAGAATGGAGTAGAAAAAATCTATATGAAGTTGTAGAGAATAGAACAAGGAAGAAGTGATTTTTAGTACTTTATATATGTCTAAAGTTTTTGTAAAGATTCATCCAGTTGTAAAACAACCAAGTAGTGGACCAGCTGCATATGAGCCAGATAAAATTTATATACCCAAAAAACAAAACGCATGTCCACCAGAGAGAGTTGCATGTAGTCTTGAATTTAATTGAAGGAATCTAACAGATGGACCACATGAGCATTTTTTAACTTTGAGTTTGGTAATTTCCCATCTAAAGCATGTTTAATTTTGTTCATTAATTCATAGGAATTCAGATTTAAGCTCCTTTGGAACATAACTAAAAAAAAATCTCTTGTTACCTATGCATATATATATATATATGTATACATATTTACTTAAAAATATGTTATACTTAATGTTGATTGGAATATTATATTATTGAGATATATTTTTTTTTTATAATTATTTCTGAAATCTTTTGTATAAAAATATAATTAATTTATAAAATTAATTAAAATCTTTACAATAATATAAATTTCTTTATTCATAGATAGAATTTTGCATATATACTCTAGTTGTAATATTACAAGACGTATTAGAAAATAAAGTTAATTTTTTTTCTTCAAAATTTTCATAGTATCAAAGCCAAAAATAAGGTTGCATAGACTTCTAATTTCAAGATTTTTTTCAAACCTTAAAATATCACAATAAACTGAGTTGATACCCACTTATCACGATCTACTCTCACCACCACCTTAAATAGAATAATAGCCTCACTGTCGGCCTACCCCTTGACTTTGTTGACTATTTCTAAAGCACGTGAGCCACACGCACCACCAGCAACAAAAACGTGTGAGCCACACGCGCAACCAATAGCAGAAGTGCGTGAGACACACACGCCGTAAAAAAAACCTACTCGACTTGAAAATCCTAATCGTGATCGAGACAGATCTGGCTTTACAGATATGGTTTCGCACGATTTCGTTCGGCTTCTTCATGCGACCGTCGATCACGCATATTGTTTTCCCCAACCGGTTTTGGTTTCACGTCGCGCCACGCACCACTAGCTCTCCTTTTGCCGCGCGACTCTGATCTAGTCGTGTTGGCTATTTACTCTCCCCGCACCATGCCATAATCATCTTCTCTAGCTTTAGTGTCGCAACTCGTCTCTCTCCAACTCAATCTGGTCCTACTACTGACCTAAGTTGCCTTCTACTGGGGTTGCCTTGCCGAACAGACCTGTTTCTGGTGATCTTCTGGCTCGCATTATTTTTTCGATCTCCGTTGGTGCTGGTCAGAGGGTATATTCTATTTCATTGAAATTAACTATTGAGTATTTTTCTTTCCTTATCTCTAGTTACTTTAAACAGTGACAGAAACAAAGAAATTGGGTGTTACTAGTTCGGGTAACTCTTCATCAGTTATTGGAGTCTTTTTAAACGAGGAGATTCAAAACTTGAAACGTATCTTATCTCAACTTAACCCTTCATCAACTATTGATGCATAAAAAATGGTAAAATCTGATATTTCTCATCTTCTTGATAGTTCCAATTTTGACATTTGTATATACTTTGGAACTAATAGACACATGACGAACTCTTCTAAAGACTTCCCAACTTATTTTTCTTTTACTAAAAGAAATGTTCGTATCCCATATGGGTCATACACTCTTGTACCTGGAACAAGTTCCATTAATTATACTTCTATTATTACTCTGTCTGCAGTCCTTCATGTGCCTAATTTTCTTTAGAGTCTTTTATCTATCAATGATATCACTAAAGATCTTAATTATAAAATTAAATTTTTTTCTGATTATTGTATATTTTAAAATCTTTAAATAAGGAAGAGGATTGACACTGGTAAACTATAGGATGACTTTATATGTCTTAAATAAAAGTCAAAACGTAATTAAAAATCAAGCTGCCTTTGGGGATATAGAAGTCAATCAGAAAATTCTACAATTGCATCGACAATTGGGACATCCTTCTTTATTTGTTTTAGAAAAATCATATCTCAGTTTATTTAAAAAAACTTCTATAGATTACTTATTTTGTGATGTATGTGAACTAACTAATCATAAAATGAGTTCTATCATGTGAATAATTATAGAAATACTACCATTTTTATGGCTATTCACTTTGATGTTTAGTGACATATTCAGAATACCTCTTTACCTATTCATAAATAGTTTGTTACTTTTATTAACTATTATACTTTATTAACATGAATTTATTCGTTGAAAATAAAAAGTGATGTATTCTCGTACTTTCAGTCATTTCATAAAATAATATGTACACAGTTTGATGTTAAAGTTAAGATTCTAAGAACAGACAACGATATAAAATATATGGATAGTGGATTTAGTGCCTACTTGGAGTCTAATGGGATAATCCATTAACGAGTTATGTCTACACCAGTAAACTAAATAATCTTACTAAAAGGAAAAATAGACACATATTAGAGATAATTCAGTCTTTTATCTTCACCATAAATCTATGAAAAAGTTACTCGGGATATGCAGTTCTTTTAGTTGCTTATCTCATCAACAGAATGCATTTGAGAACTCTTGATTTTAGAAGTCATTTAGAAATTTTGTAAAGAAAAAATTCATACATTGTTCCCTCAAAGGTGTTTAGAGGTATTTATTTTATCTATACTAGAAATGTAAACTATAACCTAAAGCTCTCAAGTGTGTATTTGTTAAATATTCTTCTACTCAAAAAAGCTACAAGTGTTATCATCCACCATCTACAAAATACTTTGTGACTATGGATGTTACCTTGAGATAATATGAATCTTACTTCAGTTTAAACCCAACACCTCTTTCAGGGGAGAGTGAGAAAGAAGAGGTTATGTCCACGTTAGTAACTCTTAACAGTCGTTGTAATACCCAAGTTTAAATTTAATGTAAATTAAATTTATCTAAATGCAATTTTTTAATTTTATTTTATTTTATTTTGGAGTAAAAATGAAATAATTTTGATGGATGATGAAATTGAAAATAACTTTAGGAAAAATGGGTGAAAATTTGAGTTCTGGGCGTATTTTTGAAAGAAAAATCAGAAATCGGGGGTCAAAATACAATTTAAGAAAGTTTTGCCACGTCAAATGTCCGGTCAGCAGGCCCGATGAATCAGGACGCGCCGTGTGTCAGCAGACGCTGACGCGGCACCACACAGGAGGCCACGCGGGCGATTCACGTACCGACAATTGGACGGTTAGATCTGAACACGATCGGATGGTTCAGATTAGATCACGATGGACGGTCCAGATTAGATCGCGATGAACAGTCCAAATTCACTTCCTATTTAATCGTGATCGAACGGTCTAAATCAAACACGATGGACTGCCTAGATCAAAAGTGGACGGATATAAATAACCCTCATCCACACAAAACCCTAACCCTATCCGCCAGACTCCCTCACTGGAGAGAAAGACCCGGTTGCCGGGAAGGAGATCGCCGCCACCTGCCGCCGCACCGGAGCCCTTTCCAACTGCCAAAAAAGGTAAAAAAAAATTCTTTTGCTAGGAACTCAATTCTAAACAACTCATTGCCAAATCGGAGAAAAAAGACCGGCCAATTGGCCGAAAAACGCAGGCGAAGCCTGGCGCTGTCACCGGGAGGAATTTCACAAAACACCTCCAATGAGACCCTTCTCGATTCCCGTTATGTGTAATTTTTCTACCGTTGTGATCTCCATGTCTTTCTCTACAAGTTGACTGGAGCAAAACACCCAACCACAACGTGAGCTGGAGGAGCCGCTGCAACGGAGCGCCCCACCGCCAGTAATTGATGGAAAGTCGGCTGAAAACAGCCAAGTCGAGGCGGACTGCCACCGCGGGCGACGGTGTCGTCGCAGGAGCACGGCGAGGCCATCATGTCGAAATTCCGAAATTGGCCAAGTGGGCTCTGGGACTGATTTTGAGTTTCTTTGGGATATTTGTAGGTATTATTAGTGCGTTTTAATTTCCGAAGAAAAATTTAGGGAACCCGAAAATCGCCCATAAGTGCAGTCGAACAACTTAGCTTTTCAGACATTAAATCGAGTAAAGATCTCTCACCCTATTCCCTATCATAGAATTAAAGTCTAAATAAATAATAATCTGGTATTTTGTGCGAATTTAGAAAATGTGCATAATTAATTACGAATTGCTAATGGAGTCAGAACTGAAAATTATCTACTGCTGTTTGTTGATTGTTTTTACAATTTATATACATGATGGAATCTTATTAATTTATTTTATGGCTTTGAATGCATGTATGGTTTATTCTATGTGTTTATGGTTGAACTGGAAAAAAAGAAGGTTTAACGGTAAAAATTGTGTGATTAAGTGAATGAATGAAACGACAGTCTTATTGGATATTCTGGGAGATAGTAGACGGACTGGGTACATAGGAAACCCTACCATGAATGTTGTCTCATGTCGGATGGGGTATCGAGACTTGGTAATTTGGTGCTCATACTGGGTGGGGTATGGGGACGATCCACTTCACGCTCATACCGGACAGGGTATGGGGACGGTCCATAATAGAGAATGTTAAAGAAAAGGATTCACGTGTAGCGGCGAAATCCCTATGAACCTTCACGGATACCAGCAGGTTGGTAAAAAGAGTAACAATTATTATTTGATTTATTAATGATGGATATAGGATTATAATATGTGTTATGTTACTGATTATACATGAAATCATGATCTGTATAATATTATTGTCTGTATAAGTTATTTTTATAAATTCCAATACGATAAGTGGACGGTAAATGGTTTTATGATTGAAAAATGAAATTGTTAAATTTAGTGCTCCATTAGTGGTTTTTTATTTTATACCAACTTTTATTTCTGTGTCGGTGATATAGTGTGATGTTCTTACTGGGTTAGTACAGCTCATTTCTTATTTAACCATTTCAGATTAAGAGGACCAATTTCCAAAGCCCGAACCGCAAGAGAATTGCGAGTAGATGCTAGTTTTCTTTATTTTTTATTTATTTCCTTATTTCTTGTATTTTGTTTTTTAAAGAGTGAACTCTGTAACCCTCTTTGGTTCTTTAAGTTATTGTGTAGAGAATGTAAACATTGAATATTTATTACGCTTCCGCACTTAATTTATAATTTATTTTCTTTGAATATTTCCGGGGTCGTTACAGTCATATTTAAGAAGAAAGTTCTATTTTAGAAGATCTTATTCAAGAAGAAAATGTTGAACACTTGGATAGACCTAACTTGAAGAGGAATTTAATGAGAGATAAAACAAAAAAAAACTATCATGCAGTCTGTTTTAGGTCAATAATCTTCTTCAGTTCCTGAAGATACCGATGAGTTATCTTTACCTTATGATTTATCTTATAAACACATTACTTTTAGAAAATAAATTAATACTTGCTTCTAATTTTATTTCTTATGACTCTTTATCTCCCCCCTATAGAGTTTTTATTTTATCTGTTTCTTTTATGCCTATTTCATAGAATTAAAGAGAAGTTCTAGAATATCCCAAACAGAAAGAAGTTATGATTGAAGAAATAAAAATTTTGGCAAAAAATGAAATATGGTTACTTGTTTCACCTCAACAGGGAAAGAAAATGGTTGGTTGTAAATGGGTGTTTACTTTGAAACACAAAGTAGAAAAGTCGACTAAAAAGTACAAAGCCAGACTGGTGTTGAAGGATTTATTCAGACC